ATAGGGCATTAAACTCAAAGAACAGCACAAGCATGCCAAACCTCAGCTGGAGGTGAACCCTGCAGCCTGTTGCCTCATGAAGCATACGGTACAACATACATCTCAGTCTTCCTTAGGCTCCTGTTCCACCAAGCTGCCTCAAATGCATCCAAACTTTATTCACTATTGAAGATCCACTTCAGTAACAGTATTTGCAGAGCTGTTGTGGATGCTTTGTCCCTGGAAGTGCTGAAGGGCAGGAACAAGCCCTGGGCAGCAGTCAGCCCACAGCAAGGGGCTGGAACTGGATTGTGTGCATTCCGTGATTTTGCATCACATTCAACACAGCACAGAACGACAGCTCACCTCTACGAATGCTTTGCTTCTACCTAGCCAAAGAACCACACAATTTTCAAATGTAATACAAACCCCTTTTCAAACACTATTACAAAAATCTTGTTAGACCAAGCATTTCATCCAGCCTAACTTCACCTCTTATATATCATGCAAATATAGAATATTCGCTGTTGTTTCTGTACTCTTCTGCAAACATCCACAAAAGGATGCCAAAAAGCTCTGCAAGCAGCACTACTACTGACAACAAACCGTCACAAACCATGACAGATTCATGCTATGCTACATCACACAAACCTCAACCCTGCATCCTCAGACCTCCGAGGAACTTCAGCCACTAGGCAACCATTCACTATACAGTAGGAGATTAAAATGTCATTTTTAAATTGTGCTGACCAATATTTCCTGTTCGATGCATCTTCCTACCACTAGAATTCGGCTGCATCTCTGTAGACTTACTGCCAAAGAAACTGTTGAGCTGTTACTAAATGTACTTAATTCTAAGCCTATCTATACCACACTCAAGTAATCCCTTAGCTAGAAAGTTCTGCAAGCAAATGCATTTTCACTAAGAACTTCAGTTAGTTTTTCTATATTGCTCAAGCCATTAACACTCCAAAAACTAACTGAACCTCTCAGCACCACAAGTGACAAAACGAAGCTCCATCATTAAGGGCAACAAAAGGATGAAGCTGTTTCCACAGCTGCCAACCAAGTTAAAAACAAAGAAATATGAAAAACACAGTCAAACAATCTCCTGTTGTTCCTTCAGAGAAGTTCACCCCCTGGGCAAATTCTTATCTAAAACCTGCTTTGCAAATCAATTTAGCAGCTTGTTTTTGTTTCCCTTGAGGGTTTGGGAAGCGTGATCTAACAGCGAGAACTGGATTTGACATGTAAAAAAAGATTTAGGGATAGGATATAGCTTATCATCATTTGTATCAGCTGGATTTACTCTGTTTATGAAAGAAGACAGATCTTGTTGGAGCAACACTTCCAGTGTATGAGGGATGCTCTGAAAGTAATGCTTCCTATTACATTCTGTCAGCCCATGAAAAAGAAGTGGATGTTGCTGTTACAGCACTGCACCATACGGCAGCAGAGGGGCAGTGTGTCAGAATGGTATCTGACATGGAAGTGCAGAGGAAGGTGTGCAACTGGATGCTTTTGTGTGAAAAAGATGGTACCCACTGACATTCATCAATGCTTGCTGAATATTTATGGAGAGCACTGTGGTCACAGCCACTGTCAGAGGCAGTGAGTGGTGCATTTCAGCAATGGTAACAGAGGATCATCTTTGCTGGTGCAGATTTTTATGAGCGCAGCATGTAGGCTCTCATTCATCAATGGCAAAAATACACATTTCATGTGGTAACCAGTGTTTCGTAGCTGAGAATTTGCTCTGTCAAACAGTATCATTGAGCTCTTTGTATCTGTTGTAGTTTCCAAGGAAATAAATAGGAGGCATTACTTTCAGAGCAACCTATGTACCCATTATATGCCTGGCAAAAGCATTAATCAAAGTGAATCTCACAGATACTTCATCACTTACTCACAGCTCCTACACAAGAACTTGCTAACACAGCCAGAAACACAGCAGGAGATTCAGAGTCCCACAAAATGTTTATTATAAACAGAAGGTGACTCACTGTCTCTGCTACAGGGATGCAGGCTCTATTTAATTTAATTTGCTCTTGTTTTGATTGCTGCATAAAAGCAAAAATCAGAAGAGAAGCACTAAGTCTATATACTAGCCTAAGTATGATTTGAAGCTTGTATTTTCTCATGGGGTACACTGACAACTTACACACAAGCCCACAGGCTCTGTCACATAACCAGGCTGTGGCTTCTATATGGGACAAGACTGACAACCGGGTCTGCGCACAGCAGATACACTCCTGGTCCGTAACACAGGACCACTCCACCATCCAGGGAACAGCCATCAGTGAGACAAGATGAGGCACTTGCTCAGCCATTCCATTCAATTTACAGATGTAAATTTATCATCCTGAAGTCATGGAGAAGCTCTTTCAGCAGTCAGAGCCAGGGCTCTCAAAAAATATTTAGTCACAGAGAAAACAGTAATTTCTTCTCAGAATCCACAACTGGTTCAGTAAGCAATGCACAATATAACTCTCAGTTAAGCTTTTAACCACAAGTATTTTCCTCCACACCCTAATCTTCAGCCTACGAAGAACCTTCATAGTACTTTCTGCAGAAGGTGAACTGTGCAGCACTGTCTATAAACACAAATGACTCATGGGCCCGACTCCTGAGCTCTACCACATTACTCTGTTATACACTCCCACAGCCACCACAGAAGCTCTCAAAGAGCATGAGGTTACTGAGCAGCAGTTCCCGGGGCACAACTGCCTGGATTGAATGGCTTGTGAATCCTTTCTAGCTCCAGGGGGAGGTAATCCCATTCAACCCCTTACCAGCCAACCCCTGCCCATTTCTCACTACCATAACTCCAACTGGATGCAAGAGGAATGAAAAGAAAAAAAAAGAAAAAATGAAAAATGTCTTCCAAAATTAAAATGTAAAAGGAAAACTCGTGTTAAAGAAGCACCTTTTTTTTTTTAAATTGCTATATAGTAACATTATTTACAGAATAAAAGTTAATATTATATTTTGCTAGCTTTCTTTGCTGCGTGCTATGCATAGTGCGGCTACTTTAATTATTATTTGGGGCAGAGGGAGATAACTTTGCATCACGTTTCTCTCCATTACAGACTGTATTTCAGAAGTCAATTTATTCTGCTTTACAGTACGATTTTTTCTATTAATAAATGTTGAGAAGTCAATAACATCACTGAGTAAGCAGGAAGAAGTGTTTGCTTCTGTATGAAAATCATCAAAATCCAGGAGACGAACACAACAAAACACAAGTTACAAAACCCTTCACAGCTTATTATGCTCTTGCAGAGAAGCTCTTTTACCCCTGTTGACAATCACACATTTATTTGCGAAGTCTTAATTAATCCAGTGCACTATCTAGACCAAGGCGCACATTTCTACATGATTAACATGCGGTCAACTGATGACACGTGGGTAAGAACTTGAATGCTATTAAGAACTCATAGAGTCATTATGGTTGGAGAAAACCTCTAAGCTCACCTAGCCCAACCAACAACCCACTCCCATCATGCCCACACACCACATCTCTCAGTGCCTCATCTCCAGTTACTGAACATCTCCAGGGACGGTGACTCCACCACTTCCCTGGGCAGCCTGTTCCAATACCTCACCGCTCTTGCAGAGAAGAAATTTGTCCTAATATCCAACCTGAACCTCCTCTGGTGCAACTTGAGGCCACTGCCTCTCATCCTATTGCTGTTACTGGGGAAAAGAGAGTGACACCCAACTCACCACAACCTTTCAGGCAGTTGTACAGAGCAATAAGGTCTCCCCCTGAACCTCCTCTTCTCCGGACTACACAATCCCAGTTCCTCCTAACACTTGTGTTCCAGACCCTTCACAGCTTCACTGCCCTTCTATGGGCACACTCCAGGGCCCTCGTAGTGAGGGGCCCGAAACTTGTGGAGCAGCCTCACCAGTGTTGAGTACAGGGGGACCATCACCTCCTTGCTCCAGCTAGCTGCACTATTTCTGATACAAGCCAGGATGCTACCTGCCTTCTTGGCCACCTGGGCCACTGCTAACTTGCATTCAACCAGCTGTCAACCAGCTCCCCCAGATCCTTTCCCTCTGTGCAGCTTCCCAGCCACCCTGCCCCAAGCCTGTAGCGTTGCAAGGGGTTGTTGTGACCAAAGTGCAGAACCCAGTACTGGATCCCATTGAAGCTCACACAGCTGGCCTCAGCCCATTGATCCAGCCTGTGCAGATCCCTCTGTGGGGCCTTCCTACCCTCAATCAGATCAGCACTTACTCCCAAACTGCACAATCAATAAACACAAAGATGTATAACAGGACCAATCAGCAATTTTTAAAAATCTCAAGTTTAATCAAGATAATCCAGTTTACCTACATTCTTAAGCAGATAATCCCGTAAATAATAATAATAATAATAATTCTCTTTCTGAAGGTCTGACAATCCCTGGCATGCCCGCAAATCTGAGCAGCTGACTGAAGCAATGAAGCTTCCCCCGTCACTTCGCAGCCTCTCACTGCAGGATGGATCAGCCTCGGGAAATCCAAACTCGAAGCACGCCTCCCGTTTTTTGTCACCAGCAGGGGACGGGAGGAACCCTTCAGAGGCAGGGGCACACAGCTGCGCCTGAGGCTGCAGCCCTCCATCCAGCCCTGGATCGGTCCCCTCTGCCCTCCCTTCCCCGAGCTCCGGAGGCAGCTTCCCGCGAGGTCCTTGCGAAGCGAAGCCGCCACCCGCCCCCCGCGGGCCCACCGACCTCGCCCCGCTCCCCTCAGCCCCTCCCGGTGTCCCCACAGAGCAGAACCGGCTCCGGACCGCTCATAAGGAGTGGCGCAGCGCACCGCTCCCCCCGGTGGGATGGTTCCTCCCGCCCGCCACGATGCGCTGAACGCTGCAGCGCATCCCCCCGTGGGCCGAACCATTCCGCCACCAAGGGAGGGGGAAAGAAGTCGGCCGGTCGCACCTCACGTCGCTCCCCTCCCCGCCCCGCGGCGATCTGCCGTCTCTCTGCCCGCCGGCCTCCCCCACCGGCGGCGCGCACGGCGCGGCTCACCCAGCTCCTCCCCGCCGGTAGCGTCCATCTCCCACCGGCTCCTCCGCGCCCTTCCGCCAATGTGGAGCCGGCCGGCCCGCTACTGCGCATGCGCTGCGGCGCGCCTGGCGGGGGCGAACCATAGATAGCGGCCGGAAGGAGAGGACGCGCGGGAGCCAGGGGGTTTGGTCCTTCGGGCGGGGTTGGCCGTGGCCGCCATGTTGGGTGCGTTGACGCCTTGTCAGCCACCGCCCGTACTGACCTTTGGTCCCTAACAGCAGCTATCCTGCTGATGGCTGCCCCTGTAAACGCCTCAGCTTCACCCTGTGCCTCCTTACAATCAGTCTAAATCTCCCCTCAGGGTGAAGTAATATACAGAATCCTTGTTCTCTGTGAAATTAAGCATTGTGCAGTAAAAGCTGTAATTCCATGAATATTTGTTGTCATGATATGAAGCCCTTAATATAGAGCTCTTTAAGGGGGCAGAGGCAGGAGGAGAAACAAAGGGAAAGAAGTTGGACTGAATGATCTCCAGAGGGCCCTCCCAACCCCTATGATTCTGTGACTCTGTGAAAGTATGGTGTTTTAAACTCCTAGGGTTTTCAGCTGAGGTTTTGCTGTTTATCTTAAAAGGAACAGTGTTTGAGAAAGCCTTCTTCAATCAAGTGTTTTCTGTTGTTGCTTTTAAGTACTTGGAGACTGATCTCCCACTAACCTGGCTCTCACAGCTTAACCCATCTTTGTGCCAGTTGCTCCCAGAGTAACCCATCAGTGTTCTTCATCACAGCTGTAAAAGTTATGCCTATACTGATGCTTGATACGATTTAACTAATAAAGTTTTCACCTGTTGGTTTTCTAAAACAGAAAACTATCTTTGCAATGAGAAGACATTAAAAAACAAATTAATCAGTTTCCTATCAGGAGAAATGCAAGAGACTTCTGAAGGTTCCCAGAAGCTTCAGTCATCTTCATACATTCTTCTATGAGGAAAGGTTGAGGGAACTGGGCTTGTTTAGCTTGGAGAATAGAAGGCTGTGGGGAGACCTCAGTGTGGCCTTCCAGTACTTGAAGGGAGGAGGAATGGCTGTTTATGAGGGTGGACAGTGACAGCACAAGGGGAAATGGTTTTAAACTGAGACGAGAGGTTTAGGTTAAATATTAGGAGAGAGTTTTTCACACAGAGGGTGGTGACGCACTGGAACAGGCCGCCCAAGGAGGCTGTGGATGCCCCATGCCTGGAGGCATTCAAAGCCAGGCTGGATGTGGCTCTGGGCAGCCTGGTCTGCTGGTTGGTGACCTTGCACATAGCAGGGGCTTGGAATTAATTGATCGTTGTAAGCCTTTTCAGCCCAGGCCTTTCTATGATACAAGTATAAATAATTCAATTATCTACAAAGTTCCACTAGGGAAAACAACGATTTTCTATCACCAGCTTTATGTTCTATGAAGCTATTTTAAAAAAGAGCCATGCATGTGAGCTATTGGCTTATTGAATTTATTCTGGAAAAGGGCTCACATTATGCAACCTGTGACTGCAGGTTATTGATTTCAGAAACTGCTTTGCTATTTACAGTATTTATGTGACGTGTTCACTTAGAATATATAAATTTTGTTTATATTCATGCATATTCTATGTTCTCTGCTGTTTCTAATAACAGCAAAGTTTGTTCCCTGAAAAAAAAAAAAAAAAGTATCAGATTATATTAGTTTATATTAAAAATCTGTATTCAATAAGGATGTTCATTCCTTCTACTTTGACACTGCATTTCAGGACTTGGTGCACAGTAAATCCTTCATACATGCTGTAGAGATTTGACGGCATGATACATCATTAATTCACATCTCAGTGCCATTTATTTCCACTGTTTTCCACTACTGCATCGGAGGTCACTCCTCAGGGAAGAGGCTTGTGATGTGTTGAGGGAGATTTCTCTAGTATGCTCCAAAAAACATACCAAATATCTGGTAGCCAGCAGTGATCAATTAATGTTCAAAAAAATGCAGGAGAGTTTATGTTGTGATGGATATTCATGGTTTTACTATATTTGTATTGTTCCTCTTTAGTAAGAATGGGAGGATTTACTTTAATACAGGCATCTGGTTTATTTCTAATCATCCATCCATCCATCAATGCAAAATTACCTCATGCTGTGAATATTGCAGTCACCAAATGCATATTTATATTAAGCTTCATATTCTGAATAGCATTTGCAGCTTCTCTCTTAGAAATCATGGGTTCAACTCGTTGATTTTATTGTTTTTTTCCACAAAGATATCAATTAGCTTTGGTTTAGAGGTTTCTCAAGTTTTGAGGGACTTTTCTTCGAATTCTTTGCAGAATCTATTTTTCAGGTTCTTTGTATTTCTCTTCCTGACCACCTGAGGCAGTAAGTCTCACAGTTGAATTATGTGTCATCCAAAAAGGCATGTCCTTTTGTGCCTGTACCTGATGCATCAGAAGTGCAGACATACAAACACACTAAAGACCTTTCTGCCTCCATCTGACTAGTTGTACTTCTGCTTTGTGTAGCAGTTCATATTTTAATATTTTATGCAGGTTCTCAGTTACAAGATGATTAGTTTGCATGATGCTTTAATGAGCCATTGGTAGCCTTCAATTATGTTGCCATCTGTTTGCCTGTAGTCTATAATTCTGTCTGATTGGCAAATGGTTGGCATTGCTCCAAGGTTTATATCACTGTTATCTACTTCAGACCACACGAACACATTTTGGTATCCCCTTGAATATGAATGCTGCATCCACATTTCACTGCATCTCAAATAGCTTATTGCTTACCTAGGAATCAAAGAGCAATAGCTCCTTTGATCACTGACATGAAAACATTTATACATACTTCCAATTCAGCAGTCAAAATTGTGAGCTTCCTTTCTTATAAATTCCTCATGTTCTATTTTCTGGTATGTATTGGCCAGTTTCCAAGCATCCCTACTTTAGCTTTTTGGCAAAATATCAACGTCCTAAACTGTCATAAAAAGTCAGCATCTTAGTGGTCAGTATCACTTAAAAATGTAATAAACTTGCAGTCTTAAGTTTTTAGGAGGGCGTTATTTTGATGTGTATTGGCTCGGAAACTATTTTGTTACATCTTCCTACTATGAATTTTCAGGCTACGCATGGAACAGCTTTTATTTGTTCACCATGATGAGTCTTTTGGAAGAAGTTCCAAAGGTTGGTTTCCATTGTGTTTGATAGATTCACAGAATCAGAGAATGGTTGAGGTGGGAAGGGACCTCTGGTTCTGCCTGCTCCAACCCCTGCTCAAGCAAGGACAGCAAAAGCAGGGTGCCCAAAATAATGCCCCAGCCGTTTTGGAAGATCTCCAAGGAGGAGACCTCACAGCCTCTCTGGGCTGCCTGTGCCAGTGCTCCATCATGCACAGCATAGAAGGGCTTCTGGTGTTGTAAGAGATTATTCTTTTATGCCTCAAAGCTTGCTGAGGAACGTGTCCAAACAAGTCCTTGACCAGGCTTGAGAAATCTTTAGTCTGGAGGACACAGATGGACAAGTCCTGGGTAAGGGTTGCAAAATCCTTTGTCTGAGGAACACAGATGGACAAGGCCAGGGGCAACGAGAGAGATAAGCCGCAGATTAATGGCCAGGAAGCCGTCTTTTGTGTGGGCTTATCTCCAGGGAGATCGTCCTGTCAGGGGGTACTGCACATGACTCTTACCCAGGAGTCCAGGAATGCCATGCTGGCAGAAGAAGAAGGATAAAAAGGGGACCTGCAATCATGAGGTTTAGGTTTCTGGGAACAGATTCCTCATGAAGAAGAAGCTTTACGGCCATGAGAAGATTCACGTCCTGCCCCTCTTCCTCCTGGACCTACTCTGTCGCTGCAGCCTCTTGCTGCCTAAGGCCAGCCATGCTGCTGCTCCCTCCCAAAAGGTTTCTGACAACAGATTCCTCACGACATGATGCCTGCATGCTGAAGAAGAACAAAGGTGTCTGCCATCAGCTCCCTCACTACGGAATGCCTGCATGCTGACAGACTCTCCTGGACCTGAGTCCTCCTTCTTCCTCCCAGACTCATCCTGCAGACTATCCCCACTTTACACAATTCTTGCTTCTTTCCTATCTTGTCTATCACCCACCTTCTTTTCCTCATCACCTGATTCATAATAGTGTTCGTCTTCCCTTTCCCCATCACCTTGATTGAGATTTGTAATAAACAAGGCGGACCAACATTTGAACCGTTGCTTCTTAATCTCACACTGGGTATATATATATCAAAGAACCTCCTGTGCCTCCTATAAATTGGAGCGAGACAGATGTTCAGATAGAATCTCCTGTGCAGCAGTTTTTTCCCATTGCCTCTTGTCCTGGTACTGGGCACCACTGACAAGAGCTTGGCTCTGTCTACTTTGTATTGATGAAATCCCACTAAGCCTCCTCCAGGCTGATCAGCCCCAACCCTTTCAGCATCTCCTCACAGAGTTGATTCTCCAGCTCTTTATCATCTTTGTAGCCTTTCGTTGGACTCTCTGGTCTGTCCAGGTCTCTCTAATACTGGGTGGCCCAGAACTGAACATGAGACTGGCTTCACCAGTGCTGAATAGAGGGGAAAGATAACTTTTCCTGGCCTGCTGGTGATGATGCTTTGTATAATGCTGCCCAGAATACTACTTGCCTTCTTAGCAGCGAGGACACATTGCTAGCTCACATTCTTCTTGATGTCCACCAGGAGCCCTAGGTGTTTTTTTGATGGGCTGCTTTCAGCTGGGTGGCACGTAGCATGTCCTGAGGTTGTTCATGAGGTACGTAGCTGTGTTTTCACATGTGTGTTTTCAATGTCACTGCTTAAGAAAACAAATCTTAAAGGGACCACTGTGCTCAACAGCTATGCTTAAAACTCCAAAATTACTGTTCACAGATTTGATTGCTACAGATGTGATGAAAAAGAAATTTTAGATGATTCCCACTAGAATCTGTAAAATTTGGCTGTTTTGTAACCAAGTGTTAAAAGCCTGGACTGTGTTGATTCTCTTTAAGCTTTGATGAAGAATAAATATGATTACAGAAGATGCTGCAGCTGTCACAAGAGCTGTTGGTGGTTCATACTTCAAACAGAAATC